GGTGACCTGCTGGGCTTGTAAGCTCATTATATGTGGTTAATAATTTTAGGTGCAGGGCCTCCAGCTTGAAGATCTTTCTGCCGCGTTCTGTAGCTTTTTCTTTTGTAGCATGTACGGCTAGTGTAGATTTCTCTTTTGACTGTACTGTGACTGTTGTACTATATGTGAATTATAGTATCCGCTGCTGTTTCTTTTCTGTAATGTAATTATCTCTGGCTCTGGATATATGTATGTATGGATTGATATGAGGAAACCGATAGAAAAAAAAAAAGGAGGCAATAGAACGTCAGATGAATCCTTTCGCTACACGGATCTTGGGGTTGTTACATCACCTGGGCCGGATGGTTTTAACTTTGAGTTTTTTAAAAGCAACTTGGTTATTAATTGGCAACACAGTATGCAAAGCCATCAAGGGATTCCATAGCAATGCTTTCATCCCTCGCACTACTAAAGCCACTGCTTTAACTCTAATACTGAAATCTAAAAATGCTGAAGCACTGAATGAATTTAGACCAATCGCTTTATGCAATACCTCTTATAAAATTATTGCTAAGGTGTTGGCTGATAGAATGAAACCTCTTATGTCTCATATCATTAAAGAAAACCAAGCTGGGTTTATCCATAAAAGAATTTCCTCTGACAATATTATCCTAGCTAATGAAATTCTTCAGTTTTCTAGGAAGTCTTCTAAGATTAAGCTTATGTGTGTTAAGCTAGACATTAAAAAAGCTTTTGATAGTGTTTGTCGGGAATTTCTTTTTGCTAGAATGAAACAAAAGGGATTTCCTGACATCTTTTTGGGTTGGATTGACGCTTGTATCAAAGATGTTTGGTACTCATTATATATTGATGGTGCTTTATAAGGCTTCTTTCCTTCCAAAAATGGGTTAAGGCAGGGCTGTCCCCTTAGTCCATACCTTTTCAGCATTGTTATGGATGCCCTTTCCAGTTTGCTTGATTACAATTTAAATGATAGCAATTTTGAGGCACTCACTATCATGGGGAGTACAGGCTCTCTCATCTTTTATATGCTGATGATTTAATCATTTTTGGCAAAGCTGATATTATCAATTGTGAAAAATTTACCCAAGTTCTGAAGGTATTCTCTGAGGCTTCTGGGCTTTTTGTTAATTATGAGAAAAGTTCTGTCATTTTACCACCCAACTGTAACAGTGCTGTTCTCAATATAGCCAATTCCACCTCTACTATGTCTTACCTTTGTGTGCCTTTATGTCCAGACAATTCAAAAATAGCCTTTTTTCTGGTCTATTGGAGAATATTATTAGGAAGCTGTCTGGTTGGAAAGCCAAAGCTCTGTCTTTTGCGAGTAGGCTGCAGTTTTTAAGGTACACTATATGGAACACTATTGCATGCTGGATTCGAGGTGGGATAATACCTAAAACTATTACTAAGCAAATTGACAAATTATGTGCTAAATTTTTATATTTTGGTGATGCTAGTGCCAAAAAGTTGCATCTTATTGCTTGGAGGAATACTTGTAAGCCCATACAAATGGGAGGGATCGGTCTCCCTTCTATTCAATCCATCTAGTTTTGTTATAACTGTTCACTCATTGCTAGAATTTATAATATTCATACCCCTTTAAGTGCTTGGCTCTTTAAAGTTTATATTTTCCCTTGGAAAGACCCTATTACTAAAGCCTCTAAATTCTGGAAAAATGTTTGTAAAGATGCTCTCATTGCAAAACAAAATTTTCATTTTAGAGTTAATTCTTCATCTCGTTACTCTCTTTATTGGGATCACTGGTTTAAAGGAAAAAGATTAAATGAAATTGTTGTGCTGCTTCCTTTGCTTGGTTCTTTTCCTGTAAATGATAATATAGGGGCTATTATTGATGGTGTGCAGTGGGCTTTGCCTGATGCATTGCCTGTTGCAGTTCACTCTGCCTTCTCCGAAATTCAGATAGGTGATGGTGCCTCTGATAACTTATACTGGGGTGAGGGTAAGAACTGTAACCACAAGCACTATAGATAATTTTATTTTAGAGATTTTACCAAAGTAAGCTGGTGGAAATTTGTCTGGCACAAGAGGTATGTGATTAGATACTCTTCATTTTGTTGGATGGCTATAAGGGGTGGCCTTAAAACTGCGGACTGTCTTATATTTAGGGGCATTCTTGTTAGCAATACTTGTGCCCTTTGCCATCATTTTGAGGAAAACGTTAGCCATATCTTTTTTGAATGTGATTATTCATTTGCAATTGTTTCCTCCCTGATGAGAAACCTGGGATTTCTTTTGCTAAGACCTAATATTCTGCAGCTGTTTGAATACATTGATGAATCTCATACTAATGATAAGGATATGTATTTCCTCCTAGTTTGCTCTGCGGTTTATCACATATGGCGTGGAAGGAATGAGAGGAAATTTGGGGGTAATGCTGTATCTTCGACCTCTTTAGCTATTAAAATCAAAACTGCTGTTTTATCTAAAATCAGGATGTGGAAAAAGGGTGGAATTTTATCAGAAATGCTGTAAGGTTTATGGCTGCTGCACATCTGTCTTACTGGAATCTGTTTTTATTGTGGTGCAAGTAGCAGTTTTTGTGGTTTTTCTGTGAGTTTTTGCTATGCTGATTTGCAGAATGCAGTGGCTGGTGCAGTTTTTTTGGTGAAAATGGGCAATGATGTCAGAATTGCCATTTTCTCCTTTGGATGACAGGAATTTTGGGATTCGTTTTTGCAACCAGGTTGAGAGGGCGGCAATTCATGAGTCCGCGGCTTCTATTGCTTTCCTCTCCTCCCTTTGCTCTGACTTGATCCTGACTCTTTTATTTACTCTGATCTTATGTTTCTTTTCATACTGTTTTCTTTGCTTTGGGGTTTTTGTTTTCTGCTCCTTTATTTTGATCTTGTAAGCTTTGGCAAGATCATTGCTTTACTTACATGTTGGTGTTTTCTTCTTCATTACATGTAACTAGTTTATATTAATGAAAGGGCTATGGCCATACTTTTCCCAAAAAATAAAAAAAAAATTCTTTCATCAAAGAACTCCCATTCCAAGAAGAAAAAAAGGTGCATGATATCTCCCTTGGAAGTCATTTCATGCAGGCCACTTCCTGGGAGGTCACATTTCACGTGCATGGATGGTAAGTATTTTTGGGGGGAAATGTGCTATCAGTCAGTAAGTGACATTGACATTTCTGCACTTCAAATCATTGAGGAGCAGCACCTGAAGCAGCTCACCACATCCCAAACTCTAATGGAAACCAGAAAGCAAATTACCTAAGATGGCAGGGACTTTTTCGTCTTTCGGCACACGAGACATGGACTTGCAGAATGGCAAACCGGAATTCACGTGATCTCCCAGTACAGCAAGCTGAGGCGGGCCCACAATCACCGAGCCAACACTTCTTTGACTCGGTGTCAACTCGGTCGCCGACAGGTGGATCCGAGGTAGTGGTACTGTTCGTAAACTTCCATTATTAGAGTCATGGCACAAGAGCGAGAAATTATTTTGTCCGGATTAGATGCAAAATGTATTCGGAGACCAATTAAAATATGTCATGTTAGTCGTATCGAGCCGCGGTACAGAGCAAGAGGTGACATTACGCATTTTGATTGGTCTCCGGACGACGTTTAGCATCCGTGCGCAATAACTAATCCACACGAGCTGGCCTAATAGGGAAAAATTATTACGTGCAAACACTGGAAGTAGAGTTATGTCTGGACTCTGATGTAATATGATGTGTGGAGTGATGTATTACTAGGTATTACTATATATTAGCTAGTACACAGTAATACACAGCTAAACACACAAATAACAATAATATACAATAATACACAGCAATATGCAACAAAGTTGTGTATTAGTTGTGTATTAATGTTAACTAGCTAATACACAGCTAAATAAACAGTAATGTATAATAATACCTAGTAATACACTAATACACACGTCAAATTTCTATTGGAGTACTCCGGATGTAGCTTTATGCTCGGAGTCCGCAGGTAATAATTTCTCCTTAATTTGACTCCAATTTTGATTAATAAATTCAAATGTGAGGATTGATCGCCTCAGAAAATTTACGATGATAGAGATATACAAAATGTTTAATGTTTTGATTTTATATGATGATTCAACACATTTACATAAAATTGTATAAATTTTTATATTTAATTTTTGTCGGTATGTTAAAAGATCTGATACGTCAGCGATGATTTTCCTGTTGGCTACTTGACAATGTTTCTTCATTCGACAAACTATGATAATAATTCAGCAGTAATTGTACTGCTTCTAAATGGCCCTTAAACTTGCTTTGATATTTCCAAATAGCCATTATAAGGAGAGAGATCGAGTTTGTTGGAAATATATTGCCTACTTCACCTTGGCTATTTAGAATGTTACAACTTCATAGTTGATTTTTGAAGAGGTGTTGGCAATGGGTCTTTAGGAGTGTTAAAATGGGTCGAAGGGTTGGGTTGGGATCCGACCTGATATTGACCCGACCAATCATAAAAAGGATATAAACAATGTCTCATTCTCTACATAAATGAGGATTCAAGATCTAAGAGAACTAAAGAGCTCTATTGCATTTTAAAGTTATCATCCATGGTGACCGCATCCAAAATTCGTTGCCACTATCTCTAGACTTCTCTCAATATCTAACGCTATTGTTGGATGTTTAATTGTCTACAATGAACATTTAAATTATTTTTGAGGATCTCCTTTCTTCTCCTTCTAGTGGGGAAGAAGCTGATTTTTTTGAATTTAAGAAAGGTGTGGTAGGCCGTTCTACTGGTAGTGGTTTTCATAATGCGCGTGGTTATAAACATAAAAACAGAGGAAAGAAGTACTAGGGTTGGTTTTTGTTTTTGTTTGTTTTTTTTTTTTTTTTTTTTTTTTTTTGGCCTTTGTGATTTCATCGGTGGTTTTGTTAGTTAGATGGACGATGATGAGGAGGCCCTTGCTTCCCCTTGTTGGTCTGGCTGGTTGGCAACCTGGGTGCCTCGGTTTGTTGCTTGATGGATTATGAATTGTGTTCGTTTATCTGTCACCTTTGGATGGTCCGTGCTTGGCTACGAGGTTGGTGACAGGGGGCCTCTATCCAGAGTCCCCTCTCGTTGCTTATTTTGGTCTGTTTGCTTTTTTTTTTTTTTTTTTTTCTTCCAAACTTAATGAAAAAAAAAAAATTAAAAACTATTTAAATTTCTCTGCACTCTATTCTTCAAATTTAATTCTTTTACGAACTATATATTTTATAGTATTTTGAGTGCAAAGTAAATCAAATGCATGGGATTTGAATTTTCATATTGTTGGTTGGAAAAAAATATGCAAATGTAGGGGTAATCTTTTAAATATACCGTCTAGTTCATTTTCAATGTATTTGAAATTTATCCGACTTGGCCAAATTCTAAATACATTAAAAATGCAATTTTTTTTCATGATTGGCGGCCGCCATCGTTAATGACGGCCACTGTATACTAAATTAATTTTACTTCAACCAAATAAAAAAAATATTTTCTTATATTTATAGTATACTCAACGAAACAATTCACGATTATTTTAAATACCCAAAATTTCTTTTTCATTATATCTCTTTTATCTATAATTTCTTTTCAACAAAACAAGTAGTTTGCACAAACATTAATTTAATAAATTTAACTTATTTTCTCTTTAAAAAATCCATTGTGAGTTATTTATTTATATAATTTTATAATTAAATGGCACATGAGCGCCATGTAGTAACTTTTTTAACAATTCTGATATAATTTGCTCTACTATTTTTATTTTTATAAATAAATATAACAAAATTAAGTCAACATTTTAATAGAAAATATGCCAAATTCTATCACATGTCTTAGAAACTTAAATTTATATATTTAAAAATCAAAATGTGAATAAATTATTTGATTTTCCAAACTCGGAAAAAAATTTTAAAGCCATTCAGTGGCAAAGTTAAAAAATTTTCTAATGTTCAAACTAATTAGTTTTTTTTAAAATATTTTCTTATTTTTTTTTTCATCAGGGCTAAGACTGACAATTTAATCGAATTTGTTATTTTATAAGTCATAATAGAAAAAACTTTTTAAATTTATATTATATGTCTTAAATTAAATTCTTAAATATTAATTTATTATGATAAAATTTAATTATAATATCAAAACATAATTTATTTTTATATAAAAATCAGAACTACAATAAGATGAATAAAATAATAAAAATTAATAACTATGATTCCATTTTAATAAATAAATATTAACAATACAAAATTAAAATTATATTTTATCTTTTATATGTAAATATTTAGTCAAAGAAAACACTATAAATTTATTTTTAATATTAAAAAAAAAACAATGATAACCTCCAAATAAGGTAAAAGGTGCCTCCCAATACAACTCAATGGCTCCTCCCTTTACCTCCAAAAAATTTAGGGCACCACCATAAATGGTAGCCAATGACCCAAGAGAAAGTCTTAGATACCATTTGTCATACAGATGAAAACATAGAGAAAAAAAGAGGTAAGGATTATAAGGACATGGAAGATGATGATGAGAGCCTAAGGCTTCGTTTAGGACGACATTCTTTCTGCTTCTTAAAGCAACTTTCTAATACAATTTTTAATTTTGTACTAGAAAGCTACTTTAAGAAGCAAAAAGAAAGCAGTCACAAACGACCCCTAAGAAAATTAGTGCTTTCTTGCAATGATCGCTAGCAACCGATTATCGGTTCGACGAACTTGAGATGAATTTTTCAGAGACCAGCTTTCCGACGGCAATATCGACTAGCAACAAAGTATAAACCAATTTGTGACCCAATCTACAGTCCCAAACCAACTGCATTCCTATAGTGCTGCTCTACAATTGATGAAAGCAAACTATGAGGATTATAGTTTTGTACAACCATGAAACAGGAACTGATTTTATGACAAGCTGTAAGAGAGATTGGCTGTCTCTTATGTAACTTATGAGTTTGTACATCATAATTGAATTCAGATATCATGCTTCTGCTTTAACTTCATTGGATCCAAATAGTTCATCAACAAGGCTCACATGATGAGCCCAGCTCGCCACTTTCTTCTTTGTTGCAAGTCCTGTCAGCCCTTCGCAGGCCTTCGGGGGTGAGTTGCCCTCATATGCATTGCATATGTAAGCTTCGAAGTTCTCATAATCCTATAAGATGGTTATAGATCAGAACATTTAGGCTTTGTTTGGGACGACATTCTTTACACTTCTTAAAGCAACTTCCTAGTACAAAATTTTTAATTTTTATACTAAGAAGCTTCTTTAAGAAGCAATGAGAAAATCGTCCCAAATGAAGCCTTAATCAGTTTATATAGGAAAGCAATGAGAAAGCCGTGATGATCATGCAATCAAATATGAAATATATATTCAAACCCACACTAACACTACTAAAGAACATGTCAGGAACCTGATAGGAAATACTTGAGTTCACAAGTAATCCAAGAGGAAATACTTGAGTTCGCAAGCAACCCTAGCAATAATTGTTAAAACAGCGAGAATAATACGAAAATCTGAATGAAATCAATCCAAAAATGATAGATTGCAATATTGGAATCAAAGCAAAGCAACACAAAGCAATATAAAATTGATCCTCAATTCGAGAGGAGGATCGTTCTCTTGTTCTCTCCCAATCTCCAGATTATGGATCTAGAGCCCAAGACGTCAAGGAAAACTCCAAGAGAACAACTCAACGCATGCATGCCCAAACCATAGCCTCCTCTCATCTTTTAATACATATCTTCTTGATAAAAACCAATAAAAAAATTCCTAAAATAAACCAATATTCAAATAGTTTTCCTATGCAATTTCCGCCCCCTTCCCTCTCTCTCTTTGCCGCCCTAAGGGGCCCAAAAGCTTGGGAGGCATTCAAAGGAGGCGGCTTAGCCTGTCTCCTATAGGTCTGAACCGGCCCAGGATGGGCCGGTTTGAAGGGTTCAGGAAGAACCGTAACAGAACCATATGCAGAATTAGTTCAAAAGCAAGCTCATATTGTCATTAGTTCCAATGTAGTTGATAATTGTAAATGCCAATAGATAACCTGGGATAGATTAGGAGCTCTAAAATGTTGGAAAACTAGTAAGTTAACTAATTGTAATCAAGTTTTATAGGAATAAAAACGGAAAGATTTTGTTATTAACCCTGCATGGCTGCATAGTATCTGTCCATGATTGGGGCGGTGCGCGGCGTATGCATTCCACTTCTATTAACTCTCAGTAAACAAGAAGATATATATGTAGCATTAATTGATAAATCTGATTAAACCATTAAAAGGGTGGCATTTTATTCATCTAAATGGTAAATTACTCAATGTAGAAAGTTTATCATTTTGTACTATATATTAGTATGACTTGAATGGAAATATGGGAGTGAAACTTACTTCATAGAGTGGCTGCCCATTCACTACCACCCAGGGAACATATTTATGAGGGGGCTCAAGAGCATCAGTCTGTGCAGCATATTTTAGTTCAAGCTGTCAACAATAATTTTGAATCATGTTACATGTATCCATGATCCCAGGAAACCAAATTTACAAAAACAAAAACAAAATTATTGCAGGATTTTTCAATATGCAAAATTACAAAGATTATGATATGCAAATATAATTAAATACAAGGCTATAAACAGAAGAAATCATGAGGTGTAGACTAAGGCTTCGTTTGTGATGGCTTTCTCATGGTTTCTTAAAGCAGCTTTTTAGTATAAAAATTAAAATTATTGTATTTGAAAACTACTTTAAGAAACAGTAAAAAAGTCGCCCCAAATGAAACCTAAGAGAAATGGTAGAAGAAGATAAATGCAGACTAAGAGAAATGGTAGAAGAAGATAACTAGCCATTATGTTGTCAAAATTCAAAGGAATGAAAACATGTAAAGCTTCACACTTCTCATCATCCTTTCTTTTTATTTTTTCAAACGTATATACAAGACCATACCAAACCTTTAAAAGAAACTCGTGTTGATGGTGACAATGATAACCTCATTGATGGATCAATCCCTACCTGGCTAAACAGTTCTTGATAGCAATATTGGAAAACAAGAAGGCAAACAACAATTAAGTGAAGATTGTCATATACAAGCAACAATTTTTATTCAGTATTTTTAAAAATAGAGGATCGCGGAGCTTAAATATTGTATAGCAGGGTGTTTTCTTGTAGGGACTGTGGGGTTGTGTTATCTCTAGCTTTTGGTTGGCCTTACAGTGATGGCGGGAGGGGAAATAGCTAAACCATCCAAAAATTTAGAAATAACACAAATATCTGGAAAAAAAAAATTGCAATTTATCCTCTAACGAAGGTAACCTTACCCAACATCTCACCTAATTAAACTGGATCTAAGTCCAATCAAAGCAAGACTCGCTGAAAGACTTAGAATGAAAAATAAAAAACTTAAGGTTCATTTAAGACGGCTACAACTTTTTGTAAAGGTGATTGTAAAGATCCTGCAACTTTCTTTCTAATACCACACTAGCAAATTAGTTTGAAAAAAAGTGATTTTGCATCACAAAAATTTCGTAGTAATATAGGGTCATTTTATTAGGATCAACATTGAACTTGAGACACAAACAACAAACATTTTGTATAAAACTAGTAATTATTGAATAAGAGACCCCCCTTAGCTACAATTTCAACATCTCCTTCCTCAATTAGCCTATGCCATAGCTTGGTGAACAAGCCATCATCACTGCTAGCATTGTGCAATTTGGTATCAATACCAAAGAACACTTTTCCTCGAATCTATTTATGATTATGTTGCTTGGCTCTAAATCCGTGATGTGTAAATAAATTCTGAGTTTTTTTTTTCTTGCCATGAATATTTGATTTATTTTATATCTTTTAGATTTCATAATTTTGCTATGATTATTCTAGTCAATGTCATTAAATTTATTAATCATTGATTAACAATTGCTTAGCATTAGATTAACATTTTTTTTTATTTTGTGAGTACTTTATTAGTTGTTTATTATATTTCCATCAAGAAATATAAGAGTTATGAGTCATGCAAAAGGATATAGGCATATAGCATGAATAATGTGCTCCCTTCTTCATTATTTCCTCCAAGATTTCAATCCTTAATCAAGTGTGAGACATGCAGAACTCCGGGAGAGATTGTCTCCTTATTTAGTCATGAGGCTCAATTTTATGTTTATTTCTTACCCTTCTTAGTTCTTTTAATCTTCACTTTCTTCTCCCCTACATTTTTCTTTATTGGTTAAGAGATTTTGTTTATCGAGATTTTCGCTATAAGAGTGAGACTTGAAGAATTATGAGAGAAGTTGTTTCCTCAGATTGGCAAGTGCTTGCTTTCATGTTTATTTCTTTCCCATCTTTCTTCTCCTCCTCTTTCTTCATCTACATTTTGTCTTTATTTATTGAGATATTTTGCTTATTTAGATTTACTATAGTTTAATTTTTTTTCCGATGGAATGAAATTTTGATCCTACTAATGCACCTAGAATATAGAGCCGTGCGACAATATATTTAATTGAATTGAATGAGCAGTAAATTAGGATATTCTTTTTGTATGAATCTCTTTGTAGGATCATTTATCATGAATATGATGAGTTTCAATAGAAGGATTCAAAGTTCTTGCACATTGAAAATATGCGACCTACGCAATACCATATATAAGATAGAATTTCCAAAGAATAAGACTTTTTATGAACTAGACAATTCATTTAAGGTGTGTGGATCATTCTTTACCCTATGCAAAAATTATCCCTTCGTTTTATATCAAGAACTCTTTGCGGATGTAGAAATATAGAAGGGGTTTATTGCTTGCCCAAACATATCCCTCCAACAACTATATATAAATGTTTGTTTATTGAGAATGCAAGAAAATCACTTCGATCAACTATATGATTAAGAAGCACTAATCAGCTAATGGATCTTTTTTGTTCTAACACACTATTCGAGATTTATTAATATTTAACAAATTTGGGTTTTCCCAACAAGCAAAAAAGCACTTCAAACTATACATTCATAAATAGAGATAAATTAAAACCAATAGTCATTATCTATTGGAATTTTTTTTTTTCTAACACATTATCCAAGAGCTAAAAATATTTCTCAAACTCGTTTCTATCCAATAGAATAGTATGGGATGATATGACAAATAGAATGTTAAGAAAAAAAGGGTTTTTGCTTGATAAATTGAAACAAGTGATTCATATAAATGAAGAAAAAACCACCCATTACTAGGTCATAAATATATGAACCCATGAAAAAGGGCTTATGTTGAACAAATTGACCAGGTGATAGTCATTAAAACTTTTGTTCCTTCTTTTTTTTGGACATGGCTCCATAGAACCACCACCCAAGTATAATCAATAGATACTAATATTTGACATTATATCTGATACGGCATCACAAAATTAGCTTGATCGGGCACGAATCTCGAGGCAAAAGCTAGTTGGAAACTTCAAAAATTAATTCCGGGAGCACACGAACTCCGATTTCAGCGAGCTTATAGTCAAACTGAGCGTCTCGGAAATACGAACCCAACGACACCAAGATCAACCCAATCCGAGCCCAAATGAGTCCGAATCAAGAACCCGAAGCGCTGTTGGAAGGTTCAAACCGCACTTTGAGTTACCAAACGGTCTCCGATTTTAACGAGCTTACTCGAATCGAGCAACTCAACGAGACGAATCCAACGAGCCCAAGATCGCCGAATTCCGACATCATTAAGGCCTCCAAATATCAAAAGAACGGTGCACGATCGAAGGGTTCAATATCGGCCGTACATTCAAACCACTCCCTATTCGCCCATGATCTCACACCTATTTACGAGCTATGCCACTCCAGAAAAACTATAAGTAGAGCCCTTATTCTTCACAAGGGGGACTCAAGTGAAGAGAGAGGAGGAGGAGAAGGAAGAAGCTCCTCCTCGACCACTGCCGGAGCTCTTCCCGCTGCCTGAAGACGCCGGAACTCTGTCGGATTTTCGGGAAACGCCGGGAATTTGCAGAACTTTGTAACTTTGTGAGAAGTTGATTGTAAATTGATCGTCCTGATTTGTAAGACGGATCAACCTTTGTACTTCAAACAAATACTAGTGGAACTTTGCAACTGGGCGAGGCCCCGTGGTTTTTTCCCTCTTTCGGGTTTTCCACGTAAAAACCTTGGTGTTCACTTCTCTTTTCTACTTGTGTGTTGAATACTCGTACAACGCTAGGACGCAAATTTATAACTCTACCGCCGCGTATATTCTAGCACGCAACAATAACATAAAAAAATAGCTTGATAAATAGATTTTCACAACCAATGTTACAAATAAGTAGAAATGTGTGTTTAATGGGTGGAAAAAGGTATCTACTATAGGGATTTATAATGATTATAGCAAAACTAAAAATTTCCAAGAAGATGTCGAACAAAGCAAAAGCAATAACTTTTGATGATTTATATTATCAAATTGGGTATCACGAAAAGAGAAATTAGATTATAACATACCCAAAAAAGAGAGGCTTAGATAAAGTTAGATACAATAAAAGTGATGACATTCATGTCTAAGATTAAAGATGAACACAACAAGTAATGATAGAATTTATTAAATGAGAGTATATAAATTGATATAAAAAATGATGGGAAAATTTTTTAAGAACATATGAAGTATGTAGATTGATATTAAAATGAAGTATATAATTAGTTATGAAGATGAATTAAAGTAAATATTTGGATCCAAATGAAATATCTATTGGGATTGCGAAAGTTACGGAATTATTTTATTAACAAATCTTTTCAATAGACTTTTTAAAACAAAAAAGTGTCAAATTATTGAAGAAAAAATATTTTGGTATCAATATTGATGAACAAGGAGACTAGAATTCTGAGAGTCATAGAATAATCAAACTTACAAATCATACAAGGACAGAAGCTATAGGAGAGGGTAGAAGCACACAGACTTCTTAGAAAAATTGCATCAATTTCAAAGAATCAATTTTATTTTATGCTAAAAAGATTCACTTGATGTGATTTTCATACTGACAAAATTGATGTAAAAAATACAAAATCAAAGAAAAATTGTCATATGATTTTTATTGATCTTGAGAAAGTATACAAGCAAGTGCCCAAGAATCTATTTTGTACAGACTAAGAAAATGACGAAGTATGTTGATGTTAAAGATAAGTGTGATAAAACATTGATTAGTATTAAAAGTGGATGTATATAACAAATACCTATAAGTTTTGAATTGATTATGGAGAAGCTTGTAGATGATATTCAAAGTGAGGTATTTTCTTGTATATTTTTCATAAATGATATAGTTGCAATCAATAAGAACTATATTGAAATAAGTAACAAAGCAAATCAAAGAAAAAAATATAGAATATAAAGGACTTCGGATTATTAAAACAAAGAGTGAGCGTACAATATATATAATTTTTGTGGGTTTGATATTATGAGTTATCATTTAATATTAATAGAGAATCAAGCAATACCTAGATATGATAGATTTAAATATCTTGGAATTATTATTCGAAAGAATGAGTATGTAAATCCAGATTTCATTCCTAGGGTTAACATTGTGTAATTAAATAAAGAAATGCCTAAGAACATGATAAGACTATGAATCTCATGGGGAAAAAAGATAAAATTCGAATGTAGCACAAATATAAATATTAGGACAGATGTGTAGCAGTTGTAAGGAATCTAGGGATAGAGAGAGAAATTATAATATTAATAGCATGTATAAAAGATAAGGTAGTAAAAAAATAAATTTAGATGATTTAGGCATGTAAATAAATTGATAGAAAATGCACTAATCAATTGAGTAGAAAAAATTAATATAAGAGATAAAACAAGAAAAAAGTAGACTAAAATAACGGTATGAGAGTAAAAAATAATTTGTGCAAAATAGATTTAACAACTCATATTCTCATACAATACTTAATAAGGATGAATGAAAAAGATGTTTCGTTAAGCCGAATCCAGATGTTTGGGATTGATAATGATAATGAGATTCTAACGGACTATAAACATTTCAAAAGAACCGAAATAAAAGTATGCATGGACAAGTTTTTCATTGAATTCCACAACAACAACAACATCAAGTCTTTGTCCCACTACGTGGGGTCGGCTACATTCATGAATCCTTTTTCTCAATTGTGTCCTATTAAAAGTTAAATTCTCATTTAAATCTAATAAAGAAAGAACATTTTTAATATTTTCTAACCAAATCTTTTTAGGTCTACTTCTATCGTTTTTAATATAAGTCAAATCTAATACCTATACACTTTCCTAATCGGGCCAATAAAAGATTTTATTTCATTACAAGGCAGTTTAAATAACATTAAACAATATTTCAAAGCCTATAAATACGCAAAAAGAATGCAAAAAGAATGAAAGAAAAGAAAGCATGAACAAGTTTCCATATTTAAAGGGAAAATTCAACAACAGTGACCTCTTTCCCATATCCGCTGTAATAACAAACAGAGACTGCTTCTGAATTCAGCCCAGTTTCCTGGAAGCAAGATTCCCACTCCTTGTACTTGTGCTTGACTACCAAATTCTCAACGCAAAAGATGAACTTGAAATGTTCAGTCTGCATTAAAGCACAAAAAAAAAGATTTTAAAAATAAAATACGAGGAATTCATTAAGGTTTTGAAGATTAACTTGCACCAAATAAATTGACGAAACCTAAAAGATGGCCACACAGTCCACATTATAATAGTAAGTGTGTTAACTCATCGTGATATTTTTTTATTTATTTACTCATTGTGTTAATAAAAAACTAAAGAATCGTGATATTGTGATATTTCTTTATTTATTTACTCATTGTCTAGTAAATTAAAACAATGAGAGCTTGTTAACGTCAATTTACTAAAGAATAGTTAACTTGAAATGTTCAGTTAACTATTTAGTAAATCCGAATTACATGAATCACAATGACTACATGACTAGAAATGCAGACTGAACAAGCTCATTACATATTGTGATATTTATTTATTTATTTACTCATTGTGTTAACTATTCTTTAGTATTTCAATTTAAGCTCCTTAAATTTCTTTTAATGAGCTTGTTCCGTGCTATAAAATTTTAGTTGGTAGAGTGCATGTTTTATGTTTTAGCGTTGTATAAAAATTCAACTCGCATAGATAAAAGTAATAAGATCAGAAATTTTTTACATGAAAAATCCAAAAAAAAAAGGAAAAAATCACGAAGTTTGGCCGAGTTGGAAAATTCAATATATGTTGCAAGTGACGTAAGAATCTTCATTTCTTCACCGTTGAAGAAGAAGAGAGGGATTAAACAAACGTCTAATTTTTTTCGATGAAAATTACAGAAATCAAGTATCCAAATAGGGACAATCTAACCATATCCAACAACAGGGCTTGTTTTCCTTTATAGGCGGGTGTTCACAGGCGGACAATTATGCCCAAAATCAGGATTAAATCTTGACAGGAGTCTGAAGATGGCGACTACATGACTAGAAATGCAAGAGAGCTCTCTATTTTTTCCTCATGAGAAATAACTAACAATGAAAATCCCATTTTAAGCAGATTACCAATATTGATGAAGAATAGGACAGAAACCCTCCTCAAAAGGAAACCCCTAGACTATAGCAAAGCATTATTAAATAACGAAGTTGGCCTTTACCAAAGAGTGGCAGATACCAAACCTTCTAATCCTCAAACTCCATGAGCTTTCTTTTGGATCTTTAGAGGAAGCTTGAGCTTCTTGGAAGAGAGAAAGAGAAGGGGAGGAAAGAAAGCGAGAGAGAGCCAAAACTGAACAGAAATCTTTATTGATTGGCTTAGCCTTTATTACAGACTATAACACTTATTTATATACTCCAAATGGCTACACAAAGCTGCACATCAAAGACAATACGAAGCTATATAAGAACCTCAAAAAAGTAAAATAAAAAACTACTTAAAATCTGGACCAATATCCTAACCATCTCCACCTTGGTCCAGATTTACAAAACATTTGATTCTGTCCAACCTTCTCCCAAATCAGCTGCCACTGCTAAGTTGTCATCTGCTTTGAGTCCAGCTCCTTACAGTTTCAACAAATTAGAACAATTTCCCTTAAACACCTCTCTTTATGGCAATAGAAGCACTTCTTGCTTAACTTATTCCTTCTGAATTCTGATCTTCCTCTTGCAATCAGAATACTATCAATGTTTTGTTCTTTCTGTTAAGATTTTATCTTAACATCCTTGGACATCAAGACATATTTTACCTTTGTCATTGTCAATGTTTACTTCTCATACAATATAGTATCAACTATGTGCTCATATGTCTTCAGCAAAGAGCTGAAGAGTATAATTCATTGATCTTCTTCGCATGTTGCCGCATCGACAGTCTTGAGGTCAAGAATTAATTTATTAAAATCATCCAAATATTTTCTAAGCTCTTTTTCATCTTCCATTTGGAGCGTGTAAAATTTTTTCTTCAAAAATAGTCGATTAGTAAGTGATCTTTTCACATAAATTGATTCAAGCTTCTGCCATGACTCTAATGCCGACCCTTCTTCAGCAACCTCTCTCAACACTTTGTCACCAAGAGAAAGGAGAATGGTATTGTGTTCCTTCAGTTGCATTTCTCTAGCCCTGACCTTGTCAGTAACTGCAGCAAGATTCTGCTCAGAAATAGCATCAGTAATGCTTTGATGAACCAGGAAAGCATTTATCTTAATTTGCAATAGGTTGAAATTGTTCTCCCCATTAAACTTGTCAATTTTGAACCTTTGCATCAACATGATCAAGAGAACAGAGCTCTGTCTATGCCCCAACGGCAATAGTCCACAAGGTTCGGGATGCCGCCTACATGACTTAATTTCATGCTTCTTCAATCAAGAATTCCCGAAGGCTCGCGGCATCAAGCTGCTTCTTGCCACCCACGCCTTCCAAACCTATGTCCCCGGCCCGCATGCTCTCCACATACAATCCACCCGATCATGCACCCGCTTCGGCCGAGCGCAAAATCGATCCTACAATTCCAACCTGAGGCCACTCATCCGGCCAGTTACCGCTCCTCACAGAACCGCCTGCTCATGATTAAGACCGAGAAATTGCGCCTGCCGCGCCCTGCGTGCCTAGTGCGTTTGTTGTGCCCTGTGAGCTTCGCCCTACCCACGCGCTCGCTCTACCACACCCAACCAACCGCCAGAGGCCCAGCGTCTGCCAATCCCAAGCTACCCACGCCCGATCAGCACACAACCCAGGCACGCGAGCCTCTCAAGGCGGCACCAGGCATTCCGTTCCTATCGCTGCCTCCTCCTCGACTTCAAGAAGCTTCCTCCACCTCCACCTAGATCTGATACCACTTGTTAGATCTTGGAGGAAGCTTGAGCTTCTTGGAAGAGAGAGAGAAGGGGAGGGAAGAATGGGAAAGATAGAAAAAACTGAACAAAAATCTTTACTGATTGGCTTAGCCCCTATTGCAGACTATAGCACCTATTTATAGACTCCAAATGACTCCACAAAGTTGCACACCAAAGGCAATACAAAGCTATATAAGAACATAAAGAAACAGCAATAAAAAACTACCTAAAATCTGGACCAATATGCTAAGTATTTCCATAGTAATAAATAATCAAGCCAGCATGTTTCAGCTCCAAAACCCTAAGAGAAACGCTGGAAGAGCAACTTTACCTTGACAACAGTCGAAACAATTATAACTTTCCCAAATTATCATAACACATCCAAACAGAACATAACTAAAAATTTATATAGATAGAAATAGGTGTTCCATGCAGAGATCCGAAGGCACCCCAAATTTTGAACAGTGGCATTGAGGTGAAAACAGACCATCTCTCAAAGAATCATCAATAACCTCAAATTAGCATTTGAGTGATTAGACAAAGAAAAAAAATGGAAGTTATCATTTCACTCTCAAAGGAAATGGATGACAGGCTTTCACAGGAAATGGATGACAGGCTTTCAACATTACTTTCAGCTCTATGTGCAATCACGTAAACATTTTAATTAGGTTAAAAAACAAAAGATCTTCTCAACTTGTTAAGCTGCACGCTGCATTCAGATCTCACTTACCAGTTACCAGAATGGTAGATTATGGCTTTAGTTAATTGTCAGAAGAAGTTAAATAAAATTCAATTTAAGATTGAAGATCATAGAGACATCTGCAACGAAATTATTTTTGTTGATTTTTTGTTTCTCAGCATTTACATAAGTTATCAATGCAATTCAAATAATGAAAAGAATAGAGAAATCTAAATCGAAATTACTTTTGTTGATTCTTTGTTTATTCAGCATTTACATAAGTTATCAGTGCATTTAAAAAAATAGTGGAAAGCTGAAAAATATACTCCAAAGCTGCAGAGAACCAAATCACTGCTTTCATATGTGCCTGCTTGAGTTGTAAATTATGCACTGATTAGCACTTGCATTAAACAAAACAAATAAAATAAACGGTTTAACAAATAGAGACGCTTTAAAATCATAATTGCAAACAAAACCTTGAGTTCACCATTCACAATTTTTTCTTGTTTTTCCTAGTTATTGGGGTTCATTTTTCATATTTACTTGTAAGAACTCTTGGTATATAAGAACAGAAAAATCGAATATGTACAATACAAGCTCTAGAATAATATTACGCATATTCATTATTCATATTCTAGCTAAACATTTATATGGATATGTTCAAGTCCAAAAGATAAATGACAAAAATAAAGTAATATCATACCAGATCAGGCCAACTAGTGATTGCACATGCTTCAATGGTATTCAGTAAGCACTCATAGGGACCATGCTGCAAAGTACAACCACAAAACACAGAAGCCTGTCAAATAATAATATTTTCCCCATAGGCCAAAAAAGGAATTGCAAAGCGACCATGGTCTTAAGTTCAATCATTATCCAATTGAATTGTAGGTCATCTTGTTTTTAAGGTTGGAAGAAAATTTTTTACAAATTCAAATCAGAGTCTCAGGACAATGAAATTTAAAACACGATATTATCTTGATTTGACCGTTGGATCTTGCATGGACAAAAAGAGTAAGTTCGAAATCATCTGGTTACATATCAAGCGCATTTATTTTCCTTAGAAAAAGTTTATCTTTGAGATTTTTAGATCCACAAGATAGGCTGAAATGAGAGGATGGGCCTAGGCGCAACAGTACCACATTAACCCCACTCCATACTGAATAGTTGTTGAGGTTCTTGCATAATTGGTACACCCATTTTTAGATATTTAAACAACAAAATTTTAAGTCCACCAACAAACATATGCTTATATAGAGGGCGATGGAATAGCACCCAGTTCCAAGTCATCGAGGCTGGAATTTCTTAATATTTTTGCAACTTATATTTGCAAATAGATATATTAGTAGCTCACACAAATTCTTCTCCTGTTTGACCATAAATAAGAGACGGGAAAAGAAAATGCAACATTGAGTGCATTGCAAAAACAAGAACACTTGCATGACATTGTTTATATTATCAGTTTCAATTAACTTAAGCTTTGTATTATTGAACAAAGGAGGTTATATATGTGTTTTTTTTTTTTTTTTGGAGTTTAGTATATATTAAATATTTTTATTTTGATTCATAAGCTATGATAATAAATTAGAAGAACAAATAGGACCATCTCTCCCTTTTGAGATCAAGTGAGTAAAATACCAAGTGCTCAATGAATTAATCAACTAATGAATGCATCAATTAGGTCATTATTAGCTTTACCGGAGTCTTTGGGTTTAGTCCTAAGAATCCCCATTCTACATTCACTTTGTGTTTTGTGTGGAATCTGATTGTGTTGATCAATTGCATTATTCTGTTGCATTGGACCTCAAGTTTGTCGTGCTTGTTGAGGGGTGCTGGGGATTCACCCCCTGCTTGGGTTCGGGTTTACTTCAAGTTTTTTTCGTACGACGCCCCAACACTGCATACCCAAGTGCTCTGGCATTGAACGACAGAGAGCGAAGCACCGTAGCGGTCTAGATATGGCGCCATAGTGGATCAAGACAGAGGTTCAAGTGTCACAGCACTACCAGATGAGTTGGATGGTTTTCTTTATCGTTATTCTAAAGGATTGCATTCCTTGGGATTATTTACTTAGCTTTCTATTGTATTTTTATATGTTAGACATTGAGATTAATATATGTGAGAAGAGAAGCCAAGAGAGAATGAGAGAGAAGAGAGAAGAGAGATTTGTACTTATTTCTCCCAATTTTCATAGTGAATTTCTTGGTGTGGTGTGGCTCTGTGATTTTTTTCTCTATTATGAGTTTTTTTACATTAAATCCTGATATATCATCAAAAAATTATCGTGCAGGCACGAATCTCGAGGAAAAACTTCAAAAATTAAATCTGGGATCACTTGAACTCCAATTTCAACGAACTTAAAGTCAAACTGAGCATCTTGGAAATACGAACTCAACGACAAATTCAACTCAATCCGAGACCAAATGAGTCTAGATCAAGCACCCGAAGCACTATTGGAAAGTTCGAACCATAATTTGAGTTACCAAACGGTTTCCAAACATGACATGCTTGTAGTCGAATCGAGCGGCTCGACGAGACGAATCCAACGAGCCCAAGATCGCCGAATTCCGACATCATTAAGACCTTCAAATGTGTGACGAACGGTACACGATCAAGAGATTCAATATCAGCCATCCATCAAACTACTTCCCATTTACCCCTGATCTCTCACCTATTTACAGGCCATGCCACTCCATAATATCTATAAATAGACCCCTCATTTCTCTTGAGAGGGGACCCAAGCAAGAAGAAGAAGATAAGAAGAAGAGAATGAATGGAGGGAAGAAACTCCTCCACGACCACCGCCGGAATTATGCTCGACGCCCGAGTGAAGCCGGAATTCTGCTCGACGCCGGAATTTTACCCGACGCTCAAGTGATGCTGGAATTCTGCCCAAGTGATGCCGGAATTCTGCCTAATGTTCGAGTTACACTGAAATTCCGCCTGATCTCCAAGTAACGTCGGAACTCTGACCGACATTGTAACTGATTTTCAATCCAGAAGTGATTCATTGTAATCTGAAAGTCCTAAATTTTAAGGACGAGTCAGTCTCTTGTATTTCAAGCAAACAATAGTTGAACTCTTTCAACTGGGCACGCCCCGTGGTTTTTCCCCTTTTAGGGTTTTCCACGTAAAAATCCTGGTGTTTTTATTTCTCTCATGTTTGTGCGCTAGATATTCGTACAACGCTGAGACGGAAATTTTCTAACTCTATCGCCGCGTATATTCTAGTCCGAAACAAATCCTAGTGTCATTTACTTTCTGCTGCCCTTACTTTTTCGTTTGTTTCATCGCGGTGTTTTACTCCCTCATTCCCAACACTTTGTTGAGTGTTACTTAAGATGTTAAATCTTTTTTTCACAAATCTCTTTGTACAAGTTCTATTCATGTCATTATTAGTCAAATATTTTAAGAAATTATAATTATATATATATATATAATGCCTATAATAATGAACAAGAATGATTTTATGAAAGTTTTCTTAGTCAATTATATCATGATGCTTCATTTTCTAAAATCTTAAGTGAATGGCAGCTTGTATTAGAAAATTTTTCCTTAACATATGTGGAAGAACACCACACCTTTTTAGTCAAGTTGTTTCTGAATATTCGAGTAGAACTGAATAAACTATTTAGATGATGCGGAGAAGAACAACACTCCTTATTAGAGTATCAAATGGATAATGGTGAACACATTGAACAAGTACTTTTATAGGTTATTAATCATAATTTACTCGAGCTAATTAGGTGTGATTCCCCTTTGCAACAGCGGGGATTACTTCTTCTTTCGTAATGGAACATGTAAAAGCCTATGGATCAACAATATAGACGAGCCAGCTAAATCCTGTTGTACAAGCCCATTCATCTAAATTCTCTCTTCAAAATCTTTCCACAAAGAAAATAAAAAATGAAAGAAATATTTCCAATTACTAACGCAACACCCTGGATGATCTATTAGATTCGTCCCCATGATAAAAAATTACATTTTGTAAGCAGACATGTACACAAAAGTAAAAGGTAAACCTGGCAGGTGATGGTACCATTGGCCTTGAGCCTGGCGTTCCCGTAGGGGATGAGATCGAGGTCGACGATATCGATTATGCTGTTGTCGAATATCTTCGCAAGGTAATTAACAATGAAATTGGCACTGTAAGGACAGAGGGACTCGTAATAGAGCGCCAGAGCGACCTTCGCGTCATCGTTGGATGTGACAGGGGAAGTGAAGAGGAGTGTAGTGGAAAGGAAGAAGACGAGGACGATCCGATGAAAATCCATCTGAAAAATTGTGATTCCAAAAGATAGGGCAGTAATTTGGGCCTCTGGGAGCAAGAACCCTCTTGTTTGATACCCTGGTTCGAAGCTCAGAGCTGAGGGAGAGAAGATAGAGGAGACGCCAAAATGAAGAAAAACGTTCTTTTGTCGGATCAGAATTATCCAAAGCCGCTAGATTCTAATAGTTTATATATTTATCAATTTACATAAAATATATTTGGTGGTGGTATACTGGTACTAGTGGGTGACTGGGTGTAACTAAGGAACTATTTTAAAAAAATGATTTATATATTTATTTAATTGTGAGATAAATCATGGTGCGTCACATCATCCGGTATATAATAATGATACATAACAAAAAGGTGACGTGGCGCATCCTAATTTGCCTACGAACACATACGGTGACCGCATAGAATAATTTTGCGTGTAAATGAGTCAATTTAACTTTTGTCTCTATTTGAGCTCGACTCGAAAAATGACTCTTAAATCAAATTTGATGAGCTAATGAACCAAGGTTAAGCTAGCCCTGAAAAGGCTACTTTTTAAGCAATGGTAATATAAAATGTACTTACGATTTATTGTTATTCAATATTTTAAATACAAAATTGCTAAATTTATAAATTATTTATAAATTTCTTATATGAACTATTCATTCATTAATTTTCTTATAATTTATCATTCCTTTTATCATTTTATTATAATAATTGTTTAATCATAAGTGTTTTCTTTCGTTAAAAAAAAGAATAAGTTAATAGTTAGCTCTAACACGCAGAATAAACCTCGAGCTCAAACTCGATTAATTAATCAGGCTCGAGCTCAAGTCTGAGATGACTCAAACTCTGCTCGACTCATTTACATCCCTACATGCGAGAGAAAAAACTAACATAAATTCCGGTATCAATATTTCTAGTTATAGTTGGAATCAAATTTAGAGATCATGCAATCCTCCAATAATTATCTTATCAATTATTTATTATGTTTTTTATCGGAGCTCGTTTTGGCTCATGGAATCATTTTTTATTTCGATAAGTTTACTAAAATTTAAAATAAAATGGCATTAAGTGTAATTTTGAAAGTTTTTAATTAGGGGTGTCAAAATGGATTTTCAGGTCTGATTTAGACCCAACCCAAAATTGATCCGCCCTCATTTGATTCGACTCAAATCTGATTCAATTATACAAACAGATCGGCAATTGAAACCCGGATCCAACCTGAAAATATGACATTATAGGGAGATTTGTGCCTGATGAAATTAAATTTTAATGATGTAAATTTAAGAGTTATAAAATTTTGATTTGTCAAAATCATAATGAAATGATAATTAAATTTTGAACTGTGAACTTTTTTTGTATCCATAAGAAGTTCAGAACGAAATTTTGCCACATCTCAGGCTTCATATTTTGAGAAAAAAAAATGTAATAGGACCCATAAGAACTCTTTGCATGAAGAAATCTGCTCTAGCTTGATCAGTTGGTCGGCTTTTAGGTCGGCTTCATGGTACTTCATTTTCTTATAGATCACTAATAAAAAAATAAGAGATTAGTCAAAATCGTGCTTCTTTTAAGTGTTTGGGAATTGACATAGACGGCGTTGTGTCCAAAACACGGCTAGGTACAATGAACCAAGTTAAACTTTAAGGGGCTGTTTGGTAGCTAGATTTAGGCCGAATTTGAGGCAGATTTGAGTGAAATTCGACTAACTGCCTAAAATGCAAAATCAAATTACTCTTTTCGTGGTAAATCCAGGATTTCCGAAATCCTCTGAGTCGAATGATTTAACGCCCTATTAATGCAAGAGGGAAGAAGAGTTTGCTCGTTTCAGTATTTAACACTCTATATCTAAATAGTCACACAATATTTAATAGGATTTATCATGAATGTTACCAAGCAATTTTCGGAATTTAAACCTACCAGGATTTCGTATATCTGGATTTAGAGAATTTACTAAATCCTACTTAAATGAAATTCTGAATGCTACCAAACAGCCCCCAAGCATAAACGTAATTGTATAGAACTTTAGGAGAATTTTCTTTTACTATGAGATATTTTGATAGGTCAAAAGACTTTTTACCAAATAGGATTGGATTTGTTGGTTTCATCGCCTTCCAGTCCTTTGATCGATTCGACTGGGATAACTTCTTATTACTTTCTAAGACTATATAATAAGAAAAATGTCTCAACTAAAATTTAAGACTTGTTAAAAAAAAATTATATTGTTATTAGAAATAGTAAAGCATATTTATTTTTGTTTGTTAAAATGACTTTTTAATACAAAAATTTTGATATTAAAAAGCTATTTTAGAAAGTAACAAAAAAGTTATCCAAAATGAAACCTATAACTATTTTTACTATGCACAACGCATCATGGAAAAAAAATGATTGATTGATTAATAAAGTGATGACCAATTTTGATTCATTGACTATCTAGTATAAATTATGATCACATTATTATCATTTACTTTAAAATTCCCAAAAAAAAATTCATTTACTTTAAATTAAATGAGTAAATTT